TTTTTTAACGAAACCAAAAACGTATCCCACTGACGTAGGATGACCTAAAAAGAAATATGAAAGTTTCTCTTTAAATTCAGTAATGAATGCAGGAGAAGGGGTTACTCGCCCTTTGCTCCTACAACATTTAAGTGATTCATAAAATTCACGATAAATCAAGTGTTCGGAACTCCAACCTAATTTTCCCACAACGACATCATAATCAGAAATTCTTTCTCAACCACAATATTCTGTATCTAATTTCATTTGATTTATCCAACCCTTTACCCTTCATCTCCATACAGGTGACTAAACTGCTGGGAGCAACAGGCTAGTAACCCCTTTGCCTGTATATATTATTAAATTTATAAAAGAGAAACCCTTGCATTTTCTTTTTGGGCACCTGCTTTGGTGGTTAAGGCCAGTTTGATGAATGAAGTCGACTTTATAGGTAGTGGATGGTAGACAGTATAATACACCAGGGAGTATTAACTACCATCAAGCCTAGTGAGTGTGGAAACAGAAACCTGTACACTGGTTTAAATGATCGTAGGATTGCTAGTCCTGGCGTGGTAGGTGGTAGACAGCAACACAAGGAGGTACTACCGTCGTACCAAGTAAGTGTAAAACAAAAGCCTGTAAATCTTGTTTCAATGCTGGTAAGATTGCTGGTGTCTTTTTTTCTGTCTCATTAACTATTGCAGATTTAGGTACATCTTGCAACTTCTACTTACACTTAGGTACACTACACATTATGTTTTTTTTTTTTTTTTTTTTTTCACAATCGGCCGTCTCCCACCGAGGCAGGTGACCCAAAAAAAATGAAAGTAAAATCCCCAAAAAGAAAATACTTTATCTCATTCAACACTTTCACCACACTCACACATTATACTGCTTTGTGCAGACGGTGTCTGAATACAAACAGTTTTAGAAGGATATACGCTAAAGAGATACACAACATATCCCTCCAATCTGCCCATATCCCAAACCCCTCCTTTAAAGTGCGGGCATTGTACTTCCCATTTCAGATCAAGCGACTATATGAACATAAACCGGTTTTCCAGGAATCCCTTCATAAATTTTTACCCTGCTCACACTCCTAACAGATCGTCAGTCCCAAGTATCATTGTCTCCATTCACTTCCTATCAATACACGTCATGCCACGTTGCTGGAAGTCCAAGCCTCTCCCACAAAAACCTCCTTTACCCCCTCTTTCCAACCTTTCGAGGACGACCCTACCCCTCTTCCTTCCCCTATAGATTCTATATGCTTTCCCTTGTCATTCTACTTTGAATCCATTCTTCTTAAATGACAAACCACCTCAACAAACCCCTATTCTGCCCTCTGTACTAATGCTTTTATAACTTCCACCCTTCTCCTAATTTCCACATCCGAATTTTCTGCATAATATTTACACCACAGCATTGCCTTAGACAGGACATCTCCACTGCTCCAACGTCTCCTCGCTGCTGTATTTACCACCACAGCTTCACAGACATAAAGAGTTGTTGGTACTATATACTTTCATACATTCCTTCTCTTAACTCATAGTTATGTTTTTTGACTCACAATACCTCAACGCAACATCACCTTTTTTCCCTCAAAATTCTATGATTAACCCTCTTCCTTCATAATATCCGTCGCGACACGTCAATCCAAGTATCTGAAAACTTCACTCTTCCATACTCCTCCTCCCCATTTGTTTATACAATTTTTCTTTATCTAAATCATTTGGTTACCCATCACCTTATCTTTTCTTTGTTCACTTTCAACTTTCTACCTTAACACACATCTCAAACTATCCCACTAACTTGTTAATTTTTCTTTAGAAGCTCCATAAGCACAGTATTCCTCGCAAAAAGTAACTGTGGTCAATTCCCATTTTGAATTTGATTCCCCCATAATTTAATCCCCACACCTCTCCGAACAAACTAAGACATTTAAGTTCTTTTACAAAAAAAAAAACCCATCTATAAATATATTAATTAACAACCATGGTGACATTACACATCCCTGTCTAAGACTACTTTTATGCGGGGAATGTATTTCCCTCTCTTCTTCCCCCTATACTGGGCCTCACTTTCCTCATAAAAAGCTCTTATACAGCATTTAGTAAACTTACCACCTATTCCATATACTTCGAACAGCTTGCACATTGCTCCTTTTCCACTCTATCATATGCCTTTCTAAATCCATAAAATGCAATAAAAAACTTCCCCTACCTTTATCTAAATACTGTTCACATATATGCTTCAATGTAAACACTTGATCTACACATCCCTACCCACTTCTGAAGCCTCTTTGCTTGTCCGCAATTATACACTCTGTCTTACTCTAATTCTTTCAATTATAAACCCTACCGTTTATACTTTTCCAGGTATACTCAGTAAACTATTCCTCTATAATTTTTACATCTCTTTGTTCCCTTTCTACTTTATATAAAAGGGACCTATACTTGCTCTCCGCCAATTCCCTAGGACCTTCCTCTTTCATCATTGATAAACAAAAGTACCAACCACTCCACACTATATCCCCCCTGCTTTTAATTTCTGTCATGATCTCCATCAGTCCAGTGCGTTACCAACTTTATTCTTACGTAATGCATCACCGTACTCCACCACACTTACATTCTGCTCTTCTTCATCCCAAAAGATGTTATACCTCCTGGCAATGCATGAAATTACCGCCTCCCTTTCTTCCTTTACATTTTAAAGTTCCTCAAAATATTCTCGGCCATCATAACTAATACCTCCCTCTCCCATTCTACTAACTCCCCTACCTCTGTTTTAACTGACAAATCCATACTTGCTAGGCTTTCTTAACTTGTTTAACTCAACTCCTAAAAATTTTTTCTTATTTCATTAAAATTTCTTGAACAGTGCCTTCCTACTCTTTATCTGGCTCTCCTTTTTGCTCCCTCTCTCACCACTCTTCTTACCTTTCTTTTACTCTCCATAGACTCGCTCTTCTTTTAAAACACTTGCTTTGTAAAACCTCTCGTAAGTACTTGTCTCTTTATTCACACCCTTTACTCATCATTCCACCAATCACTCCTCTTTTCTTCCTGCCCCCACCATCTTTATCCACAAATTCTGCCCCACATTCTAAACTGCAATTTTTAAAACTATTCCAACCTCTTTTCAACCCCCACTACTCATCTTTGCACTAGCCTACCCTTTCTGACCAATAGGTCGCTTATTTCTCGCCCGAACTTCCTCCTCCCTAGTTATAAACACTGTCACCTCCCTCTTAACTTGTTGTTGCCACCTTTCCTCTTTTCCCATCTACCTCTTACTATAACTGTAGCTACAACTTAAATAATGATCCGATATATCTGTTGCCCCTCTATAAACATGTACCTCTCTGGAGCCTAACCCATCAACTTTTATTCCACCAATACATAATCTATACTAACTACTTTCATTACGTGCGCATCATACTTGTAATTTATTATCCTTCTCTTTTCAAAAAATATGTATTACTTATTACCAATTTTCTTTCTAACATAGCTCATTAAAGGCTCCTATTTACATGTACCCCTGGCACCCCAAAATTACCTACTACTCCCTCCTTAAACATTTTTACCCACTTAGCATTGAAATCCCCAACCACCATTACTTCACACTGATTCCAAACTCCCCACGCATACATCAACATTTCCAGAAATCTCTCTCTCTCTCTACACTTCTTCTCTTCTCCAGGTGCATACACGTTACTATAAACCCTCTTTTCACATCCAATCTTTATTTTCTCCACATATCTTGGAATTTTTACATTTGTAGTCCCTCTGTTCTGCCATAGCTTATCCTTTCAACATTATTGCTACTCCTTCTTTAGCTCTAATTTATTTGAAACCCTGACCTAATCCCATTTTAGTCCTCTCCATTGAAAAAACTCTCCACCCCCTTCAGCTTTGTTTCACTTAAAGCCAGGACATCAGTTTTTCACATTCATAACATCCACAATCATCTCTTTCTTATCATTTGACACAACATCCACGCACATTCAGACTTCCCCACTCTGACATTTTCTTCATCTTATTCTTTTAGAATTCTTTAAGGGGGAAAAAGGGTTTACTAGCCCATTGTTCCCTGCATTTTAGTTGACTTTTTCAACACGCATGGCTTACGGAGGAAAGATTCTTATCCCACTTCCATGGATATAAAAGGGAAAGTAATAAGACAAGAATTATTAAGATAAAATCAATGAAAACTCAGACGGAGGGTGTGTATAAAATAATACGTGTGTACATGTTATGTGTAGTGTGACCTAAGGTAAAGTAGATGTAGCAAGATGTACCTGTAAATCTTGCAGTTTTTATGAGACAGACAAACGAACCAGCAATCCTCTCATGTAAAACAATTTACAGGCTTCGTTTACACATACATGTACAAGCATATATCACACACTCTCTGGGGTTTTCTTTCTATTTTTTTTCTAGTTCTTATTTTGTTTATTTTTTATTCCATGGGGAAGTGGAACAGAATTCTTCCTCCATAAGCCATGCATGTTGTAAAAGGCGACTAAAATGCCAGGAGCAAGGGGTGTAACCCCTTCTCCTGTATAGATTACTAAATTTTAAAAAGAGAAAGAGCACTTATTGTTTTACCTTTTTGGGGCCACCCTGGCCTCGGTGGGGATTTATATGGCCGGTTTGTAGAAAAAAAATATATATACAAATCCCTCTGGGTTTCCTTCTATTTTCTTCCTAGTTCTTGTTCTTGTCTATTTCTGCTCATCTCCAAGGGAAAGTGGAACAGAATTCTTCCCCGTAAGCCATGCATGTCACAAGAGGTGACTAAAATGCCAGGAGTAAGAGACTAGTAACCCTTTTTCCTGTATATATTATTAAATTTAAAAAGAGAAACTTTTTCTTTTTTGGGCCACCTTGCCTTGGTGGGATACGACTGGTTTGTTGCAAGAAGAAAGAGAGAAGATATGATGACTTGTGAATGCCTCTTACGATTTCCTTCAAATCTTTAACACTAATATTTAATGGTATTATCGACGTATACGTAACCTGTTAATGTTGTAAACGTCTGCAAGAATTGCTAGTGCTTTAGTCCTGACACCTGGTCTACGATCACGACAGTAATATCGGTTGAGAAGTGTACCCAAGTTGGCCAACCAATGGGGACGGTAGGGAACCACACCTTGCGCCAGGTGGTCAAGCAGACGAAGAACAGACAATTCCTGTATGATATATTGTCAAATAAATATCAATAATATTTTAAAAATGGACAGCTAAAAACATAAAATATATTTTTAGGTTTAAAGTTAATAATGTGCAATATATTACAATGATGTAAATTTTAAGAATCGTTGTCAAACAGCAATGGGGAAATGCCAGGCGGGGATAATGCAATACTGAGGTGGCCTCTTAAGAGGATCTTGAAAATTCCTTAGTTTATGAAAATATGGCCTCATCATCAACACAAGCTTTCCCTACTCTTTTTTAAAGTAAATGAATACCAACTGCTGTTACCAGCTGGTGGCACTCTTAGTTCACATATTGGAGGTCAGGGCATCAATGCCCAGAGGGTGGAATAAGCCTCCATTCCAAAATTACAATTTTTTTCAGCAAATGCATCCACATATCCTGGAAGTATCCATGAGAGCCAAATTTATATAAATGTTATGCAATTCACCTCACCATAATGTAGAGATTCTACAGAATACACAAACTCAACTGTGTTGTGATAACAGTTTTCAACAATAAACAGCAATAAATAAATATACAGCATTTTTTTAATTCCTAAAATCATTTCCAGTGTAAAGTAAGTAAAGCATCATTAGCAAACTTTAAAGAATGATATATTGTAGTACTTAAATTAACCTACAATATCTAGCTTAACCCATTCATAAGTTGGGTATTGGGGAGTTACACTGAGCCCATAATTTTTTTAGAGGGCATAGGGAAGGAAGTGGAATATTTCTTGTTCTCAATTAAGTAACTTTCCAAAACAATCATTAGCAGAAAATCTAAGTACTGCAGACCCCTTACTTATATCCAAGCTCTCTCCATGATGAATTAAGATGACACATTGATATAACTCGCACCTTTAAAAGTTTACACCAAATAACATTCTGACAGGAAAATGCATTAAGTTGATACTAGTCTTGTGTAAAATAACATATGATCAAGTCAGTAAAGGTTTGTGGAATTAGCAAGAATACATTTTTATTCACACTGGGACTAAAAATAACAAAAAACCTACTACAGGGTCACCTTGCTGCTGTCCTAATCTGCTCGTAATATACTACACCCAACTGTCAACGTTCACAGTTTTCTACCATTGCAAATCTTATTTTCTGCATGTTATGAATCATGATCACTACAAAATTTATGAATTTTGCTTTTTTGTGAAAGCCATGTCAGTTCCGAGGAAGAGACAGGCAAGATTAGGTCATCGTGTGTGGTCTGAAGTGAAGCTTAAAGCAAATGATCATGTACCCAAAAAGGCAAGAATCTACACATAGCCAGCTTTAGTGTGGGGTATATAAAACTATTGTGTTATATCTGTACACCTCTGGCAAAACAACAATAGTGTGAATAACAGTGAAAGTGTTTCTTTCTCGGGTTACCCTACCTCAGTGGGAGATGGCTACTGTGTTAAAAATGAGATGATCACTGAGGGGTAGGGGTGGGGGAACAGAATGAGAGATGGGGGTAGTACATCCTCTATATTACTATGGCATAATGAACTCTTCTATTGAAAATTTTCTTTTTCAAGCACTGTTTCAAGAATGTATCCCTCAAGATCAAATTCTGGTTGTATTGTATTCTGATAAAAAAATAGTCTTAACTTTTAATAATTTGCTTACCGGACGTAGATCTGAATAAAGACCAACAAGTGCAAAAAACTTGTCAGCTGACCCACCAAACTGGTGCAAGTCAATAAGTTGCTCAATAGCATCCAATATGTCCTTTAACAATGCCAGAATAGTTTGTTTTTCATTTCCTTCCTCCATATCAACTGTAAATAAAAATTAGCATATTCTATATCCTAATTAAACATAAATTAAATATTAAATCTTTAACATTCCCATGAAATATTGAAAAATTATGGAACAACAAAGGGAAAATAAATAATTATGGTAGAGTTTTACACTATGACACTGCACTCCATTTCATAAAGAACAAAACCCGAGGATCCTTCAGGAGTGGCGAAGGCTCGATCCTCCATCCACTAATCATGGTGCAATTGGGTTTAGTCAGAGGATCTCTTTAGAAATACAGATATCTCTTGTTTGTGGTTCATATTTCACTCCAAGTGGTTTCTCATTTTGTATCAATCAGTGTTTATGGCACTTTAATTCAAGCAAGTGCAACAACACTCACAAATAATTTTATGATGAAGTTAATCTAACTTATTAGTTTTCTAAACCATATATTCGCATACAAAGTTAACAATACTGAATACAGGAGATCCCAAACTTACAAACCAGTTGCATCTCTTGTGTTTTAACTTAAAATAAGTTGTCCTTATAGAAAATATCAGTACAAAGAAGGGTCATTTCTAACATGTGGGTGTGCTGTATATCAATAGTTTAACCCTTTGACTGTCACGACCCCAAATCCTAAAGTGTGTCTGTGTCACAAAATTTTCGAAAAAAAAAAAAAAAATTCCCAATGTTAATGACATCAAAAGTACAAAATTCGATGGAAAACTTACGGAATTACGCTCTCACAAAGTTAGCGATCTCAGCGATGTTTACGCATTGGCAATTTCACCCATTTTGAGCCCTATTTTTGGCCAATTCCAGTCAACCAAACTCAGCTATTTCTTTAGAATACCATTTGTTCTATCGATTGAGTACATGAAACCGCCCATTTACCAATGTCAACTAAACAATAAAGTGGTCAGAAATTGGCAATTTGGCCAATTTCACGCAAATTAAAAAAGATGTCAATTTCAAAATAGGGTCCAGAATGAACAGTGCAGACATTCCTGGCACTAAAATAACATTTTCTTTGTTCATCAGTCATGTCTCCAGGCCCCTCTTATACTACTCTTGCTTTCTATTTTGAATTTTTATTCACACAAAAAATAGAAGATTTACTGTTATGCAGACTACTGCATTACTGTAATTATTGTATAGATAATGTCAACCCATTCATGACTGTACATGTATATCAGAATGGCTAATTGGACACTTATTGGACAATGACATCATTTGTTTACTCTTGAACATTGGCAAAAATCGAACACTTCCACTACTTTGAGCTCAATTTCAAGGTCCTTTTCATCATGAGACCAACCATAATCATCTCTATTTCTGTAATATGTCTTCCATTCTATCAAATGAGACCAAGAAAACGAGCATACAACCATAAATACTATACGAAAATACACCTCAAAATTGGCATTTTAATCCAAAAAACATGGTCGGAGGTTTTTTTTCTCATTATGCACTGCGTGCTGTAGGATTTTTTTTATACTGTGCACACTGACTACAACGACCCATTTTCTCACATGTGGGCCTACCAGCTTTCTCTCGCTTGATTTGAAGCCACTAGAATTTTGGAGTAAAAATATGTCAAAAACACTGGCTCATAAGACATATACATACGACCGAAACAGTCAAAGGATTAAAGGAATTTTGTGTTCAGTAAGCTTTTCATTCATAAGTGTAGATGTTAGCAACTTGGGCAGTTTGTAAGTTTACGTCCTTCCATAATTAATATCTTTTCCTTACCTGCATGCTCAAAAAGTTTGCTGAGGGTGTCCAGAACAAGATTCCATGAGGACAAATGAAGCTCCATATACATTTTGGACACAAGTTTTTGAATACTTAAAGCTACTTCATAAACCACTAATACATGACCATTTTTGGCAGCCTAAAAGAAAAAAGAATGTCAATAAAATATGAAAGGGAATTGGAAACATAAACACATATGCAGTTTAATGTGATCCTTTATTGACAACGTTTCGCCCACACAGTGGGCTTTTTCAAGTCACACACAGATTTACGTGGGGTGGAAGGTACGGGAGTATTTATAGTCAGGTTCAGAATATTGAGGTCAGGTGGAGAATGCTGCATCTGATGATCTACCGGGCGGGGTTGTAGAGTATTGGGTAGCTTGGCAGGGGTATTGGACAAGTTGTGAGTAGACCTTCTGTAGTGTTCTATGTTCTATGTGGGATAGCGATGAAGAAGTTTCTTGGCGAGTGGTTCAGCTATGTTATAGAAGCCGTTGTTCTGGTTGAAATTGTTGGTTATAGAGATAAGCGATGATTCCTGGATTCTTCGGTATTGAGTGTTGTCTTCTGTGGCATAAGTCTTGAGTTTCAATACCGAAGAATCCTGGAATCATCGCTTATCTCTATAACTAACAATTTCAACCAGAACAACGGCTTCTATAACATAGATGAACCACTCGCCAAGAAACTTCTTCATCGCTATCCCACATAGAACATAGAACACTACAGAAGGTCTACTCACAACTTGTCCAATACCCCTGCCAAGCTACCCAATACTCTACAACCCCGCCCGGTAGATCATCAGATGCAGCATTCTCCACCTGACCTCAATATTCTGAACCTGACTATAAATACTCCCGTACCTTCCACCCCACGTAAATCTGTGTGTGACTTGAAAAAGCCCACTGTGTGGGCGAAACGTTGTCAATAAAGGATCACATTAAACTGCGTATGTGTTTATGTTTCCATTGTGTCGGTATTTTATACCATTTATTTTCATGAAAGGGAATTAGCATGCCAGTTATGAACAGTAAAAAGTACACATTCAACCAAAAAAAACTTTTATTAACATCTCACCCAGTGGATGAAATGTCATATAAATAAAATGTTTCTTTGTGGAAAGAGTCCTTTTAACATGTCACCTCATAGCCATTTATTTATACCACTCAAATATTACTAATATATTGCAGAATAAAAGCTTCATTTTTTCAAGACTATTATTATTATTATTTGAAGACATTTTGAGAAGTAATGGAAGGAACAGCAAATACACTAGATGCACAGTAGTATAATGTAATGAAGATGTACATTAAACACTAAACCCTATATAGTACTTATTACAAAGTCTCATATCTGCCTCATATTAAGCAGCCATTTCCAATATAATGTACACAAGATAAAAAAAATAGCATTAAAGTATTTAGAAAGGCATGCAAACTGACTGAAAATAAATTCTATGAAGCAACTTTTTATACCAACCACTTGGAATGTTGGAAGCACTGCTGCTGGTTTGTAGTCAAGGGATGTCACCTTATTGCCCCCCCACAATGCTGATGTGAGGAAGAAGATTGCTCCACGCACCAAAAAAACACTGTTGTCATTCTGAATTAAATGGCACAGCACGTAGAGCCCACTATTGCCAAGATGTGTTCCAAGGAGGTTACGCATGATCTGAGAATCAGATATTAACTCAGGAATAACTGAATTCTTAGCAGTGCGATAAATAAAAATTCTCTGAAAGTGTGACAGTAACAGGTTTATAAAGGCACTAAACAAAGGACAAAAATCAAAAACTGTGCAAAAAATTAAATCAAAGACAAATTTAAAAATATCTTATATTTCATACAAATTTGCATGTATAAGTAGTCTCAAAAAGACTAGAGCTCTAGTAGGATCTGCATAAGAACTAAGCAAACAACTTCAGAATTTTTTTAAGATTTCATTAGAAGGTGAAGTGGAGGAAATACAAAAAATGATACGCATTGTGCTATATAAAAAAACGTGACAGGATGCCACAAATAACTAGAAGCCTCATTAACTCAAAGGGAGATGAACTGTGAAAGATATACTATACAAAAGTATAGGTAGCACCGCAATCAGCCGTTCTGAAATCCTTTTTGTCTTTACATCAGCTATTTCCCACCAAGGTAGGCGTGACCCAAAAAAGGAAACCACATTCATCATCACTCATTTAATAGGTGCCTTGCCAGAAGGATACTCGTATCACAATTTATGATTCTGTAATTAGATTCATTTCTTATTCACATAAATATTACATTAAAGGCATGGTGCATACTTTAACCTTTGACATACCTTCGAAGAGTTTCACTACTCTTGAAGCCCAGCTATGGGCCAGGCTCATCTGGTGCTTGCCTGGTCAACCAGGCTGCTGCTGCTGGAGGCCCACTGCCCCATGTATCCATCACAGCCTGGTTGATCTGTCACTTGGCTAAGATACTTGTCCAGTTTCCTCTTGAAGATTTCTACACTTGTTCCAGCCGTGTTTCTGAAATCTTCTGGTAAGATCCAGAATAGTCTGGGATCGTGGATGTTGATGCAGTGTTCTCTTATTATCCCCACTGCACCCCTGCTCCTCACTGGGTTTATTTTGCACTTCTTCCCATATCTCTCACTCCAGTATGTTGTTGGGAAAAGGCCCTCAAGTACCTTCCTGGTGTATATTATCATGTATCTCTCTCTCTTCCATTCCAATGAGTACATGTTCAAGACTTGAAGGCGTTCCCAGTAATTTAGGTGCTTTACTGGCTCAATGTGAGCCGTAAGCAATCTCTGTATTTGTTCCAGCTCTGATATTTCACCTGCTTTGAAAGGGACCATCAGCACTGAGCAATATTCTAAATGAGGAAGCACTAGCGATTTGAAGTGTCACCATGGTATTATTTCCTTTGTTTTGAAAGTTCTCAATACCCACCCTGTCATCTTCCAGGTTGTCATGATCTTTGTCTTGTTATGGTCTTTAAAAGAAAGGTCAGGTGACAATTATTTCCAGGTCTCTCATGTGTTCCTTCTGTTCTACTTGGTAACCCTCTTGAGTTTTGTATTTAGTGTTCCTTTTGAGTTCTTCATTCTTTCTATACCTAAGCAGCTGAACTTTCACCATTGAACATCATGTTGTTCTCCACTGCCCACTGGAAAACCCTGCTTGTCTTCCTGTAATTTTTCAGTGTCCTCTGCTGTAGTTACATATAACAAAAAAAATTAGTGTCTGCACTCTGAAGGATGGGTGGAGATGCTGCAGTTAGGAGGGCTTTTGATTTGTTATTTATACGCATTTCTAGCAAGTCAGCTAGTGAATGAATGATGGTGAATGAGTTTCTTTTTTTTGGGGGGGAAGGGGGATCATCCTACCTCAGTGGGAGATGGCCAGTGTGTTACACACTACACAAATGATATTTGTGAATCCATTTGTATGTGTGATATTTCAATAAGATTTCTGATAAAAAGTAAGAATATAAAAAGGCAATGTTACAATAAAATTAAAAACTGTAAATTATAATACAGTATGGGTATGATACAAAAACATTAACCTGATTTTCATATTACCAAACATACCTTCCATGCTTCAGAAGTGAGCTGAGGCACACCAACAGCTCTTGTAAGAGCTGTAATGAAACTAGGCAGTGCAGAAGAAGGAAGGTAACTGTATGCAAGCACAGCATCGAGGACACGTAAACACAGCAACGCTTCTGACTCGCTGTTTGCTCTGTGAAGCTGAAGAACTACTTGCCTGGAAAATCCACAATTTATCTTCAGTAATAGTACTACTGAGAAATGTCAAATCATGTATCTCTGACGACCAATATCAACCTCACAAAAAAAAAGTGCAAGTCCAACTAAATGTTTCACCAGTTGGGACTGAGTGTTTTTCAACAGAAAAATATTGTAGACAATTTTAAGTTAATTCATTAACTTGATCAGTTTTCTTGATAACTGAAAACTCAAGTAAGGTGTTGTTAACATTATTTACACTAGCCAAGATTCAGTTACAATTAACTCGTAAACGGTCCAAGCAGATCTACGTTCACATGTGTAGTGCTACAAAAGTAGATCTACATTTTTTTGACATATTTTCAAATGTAACAAAAAAAAAAGTAGATCAAAGTTTTTTTACACATTTTCAAATGTAAAAAAACAAAAAGAAGATCTACTTTTTTTACATACTTTCAAATGTTGAAAAAACGTATATATACGTTTGGACCATTTACAGGTTAATCTTAAAAAATCTGATCTTTTTTTGAACATGCTGGCCATCTCCCACCAAGGCAGTGTGACCCAAAAAAGAAACTTTCACCATCATTCAACACTTTCACTATCATTCACACAATCACTGTCTTTGCAGAGGTGCCCAGATATAGCAGTTTAGATGTCACTTGAAACAGCCAATATCTCAAACCCCTCCTTTAAAGCGATAGGCATTGTACTTCCCACTTCCAGGACTCAAGTCCGGCTAACTCTATAATAACCGGTTTCCCTGAATCCCTTCACAAAATATTACCCTGCTCACACTCCAACATTCCAAAAACCATTCATCTCCATTCACTCCTCTCTAACACACTCACACATGTCTGCTCTATGTTCAGGCCCCTTGCACACAAAACCTCTTTTACCCCCTCCCTCCATCCTTTCCTAGGATGACCCCTACCCCTCCTCCCCTCCACTACAGATTTATACACTCTCCTAGTCATTCTATTTTGCTCCATCCTTTCTAACTGATGAAACCACCTCCATAACCCCTCTTCAGCCCTCTGAATAAATACACTTAGTAACTCCACACCTCCTATTTTTCCACACTACGAATTCTCTGCATAATATTTACACCACACATTGTCCTTAAACACGACATCTCCAGTGTCTCCAGCCTCCACCTCGCTGCAGCATTCACAACCCATGCTTCACACCCATATAAAAGTATTGGTACCACTATACTCTCATACATTCCCTTCTTTGCCTTCCTGAATAACGTTTTTTGTCTCCAAAGACACCTTAATGCACCACACACCTTTTTTTCTTTCATCAATTCTATGATTAACCTCGTCCTTCATAAAACCATCTGCTGACAAATCTACCGCCAAGTATCTGAAAGCATTCACTTCTTCCATTCTCCCTCCCTCCAATGTGATATCCAATTCTTTACGTAACTCATTTGATACCATCATCACCTTACTCGTATCTATGTTTACTTTCAACTTTCTTTACAAACCCTCCCAAACTCGTCCACTAAACTTTGAAACTTCTCTTTAGAATCACCCAAAATCTGAATATTCAGTGTTAAATGAATTCAATAGACTTTTTAGCAAAATTTGGATGAATGAATTTTTCAAACAACTGTCTATCAAATACTATTTGATTCATAATGTTGATAAATACTATGCAGAAAAAATTCCCTCAACCAGTCTTTCCTATATCTGAACTTTTATAATCAACCCCATTATTCATTCTATTCTGAAACTGCTTTACCAACCTCAATTTAGTGAAAAGTTCCAAAAATCTAAGGAAAATTAACTTACCTGAACAAAAAGATGTGGCCCCTATTTCTGCATTTTTAATGAGGCAAAAAGATTGTAAGAAGAAACTGTAATGGCATAAACATTGCTACTTTATCCTTACTCATAGGCTTATAATTTATTTTCCCTCATCAGCCTTTTTCCTACCAAGGTAGGGTGACTCAAAGAAAAAAAAAACACTTTATATTACTTGAAGATTATTTCCACACAAAAAAATAACATTACAAAGCTTAGCCACTTACTTGACAAAGCCAGTAACGACTGGCTCATCCAAGTAAGCTGAATTGAACTTGACTAGAATAATTATAAGGTTGAGAGCATCAGCAGCTTGTGGTGAGGCTAAAAGTCCTGGAAGCCACTCCAGCAGAAAAGGGCCAACATACTCATCGATGTATTCTAGTTGCTTTCCCTCAGCTATCACCTCACGGAAGAAGTCAAAACTGACAATACAATCAAAGGCATAATGTGTAAGTACAACTAGATATCATGCCCATCTCAAAGATTTATTTCCACATGATACAATATTTGTAGAGAGATGGGTGACATTTGGCTGTGCATGCAGAAAGCCCATGGTTATGCAGAGCATTATATTTAAAAAGATGTATTATTCTAACTACTGCAAGTTTGTTTTATATGGATGGCTATACTTCTATAAAATACAGTGTATTTAACAAATACTTGCTGGTCCCTGATTTAGCCACTGAATCAAGGGGTAATTAACAGTTTAGAATGCATATGCTGAAATGGATGCACTAATAACAAGAGTTTTATGAAACTCATATGCTAAAGTTTTCAAAAAAGGTTACCCAGACAATGACTTAATATTGCTTAAAATACGAAATGTGATTTTACAAAGGCCGTAAGATTATAATTCATGTGATGCAGACTTCAAAATACAAACTGAAAACTGGAGAGGAATATCCTAAAAACATACCAAACAACTATTTAAAGTAATCTCGAACACTTCTGAGGACAATCAGAACTGGTATAACTGTAATAAAGATCTTCCAAGTTTACAAAACACAGACTGATGCTGAAATCATTGATAATTTGATCATCAACAGAAATGACAAATACTACACAAGGTAATGCTAGCAATGAGAACCTTAGTGCTAAAGGTACAGAAAGAACATTAGAAGAAACTTACTTCAAACTATAAATAAAAAATATTTAAGCAAAAGAATTTCACAAATTCATGAATACCAATTATTATTATTTTAATTTCCTAGATTTTATTTTTTTTACTTATAAAATAAAATCTTCACCAGTGCTGTTAAACTACTGGTAATGAATTTTAATACCAGATATACAGCAGTATATTCTAGTCTGTTTTATTTGCCAGATATTCATAAACACACACATCTGGGTACAATACTTTAGAGATATATGTAAAATTTTAAAGATACAGCATAACTCTAAGGACTGTCCACTTTTCACCCAAAATCTATACAGCAAAATCCTAACATCCCATAAAAATCATATGCAGCATCAGCTCATTGGCCTTATTAAAACAAGAAATATGGCATTTAGAAGAAACATACATAGGTTTACTATCTTCATGCTGATAATTGTCTGAAATGTAGTTAAAGAAGACATGTCGCATTGGTCCTAAACGATCATGTCCAGCTGCAAGAGTGGTGAGCATTTGTAATGTAGTATGGCGTTGCTCAGATGGACAGGTCAGGGCCAGCAAGTCCTGTACAAGGATCCATAGCTTCTCAATCCCATACTGTTGAGTAAAACACATACATTTTAGAAATATATTTCTTATTGTACAGTAACAAAAATTTAAATTGAATAACAGGAATAATTTATTAAACCTCAAGGAAAATGACACAAGATGCTAGCAAGACAGTCTGAAGTTACAGTACTGTATAAAATTTATTATATCACTAATAAGTGCTGGGAAGTTACAGTACTTACATATGGTCTTACAAGCCCTGAGCCTTTACATCTACCTGTATTTTAAACTAATATTTTTAATTTTCTTCTCATTTGCATACAATGGACACAATAATGTTTCGGAAGCACTATAAAAATTAATTTATCAATAATCTGAACTATGTTTCTTAGTGACAAGAGCATTAGTGCTTCATTTTTCCCAGATACAACTTCAGTTTGCATTACACATTCCAAAGTAAGTGCCCAAAAAGTTAATGAGTAATAAGGAATACTCTCACACTCTTAGGATTTTGATAAACATTCTTCTAATCCATATCTAACTAGTGTTCATAAGCTATTATTACATACATATGGAACATCATTTTAATAATTAATACACATTCTTAAATAGTACTATAACCATACATTACTGTATCTCTTCACATTTATTTGATTTTATACAATACTGTACAATACATATATAAATATATTTACATTTCTTGGTTATTTTTTTATTCTTACAATTTTTAACCATATTTTGCTTTTTTCTTACATAACTATAATAATAAGAGAACTAACTAATTTGACATATTTTTTCAGAACATATTCCTTTCTGTATGTGGGGAACAGTATGAACCAACCATTTTCTAAAAAAACAAAGAATGTTAATTGTTAACAAGGAGAATCATAATAATTAAAGTCTAATACTCTACCCCTTAGTGGCTTAATTACGTCCCTCTCTATTTCATTACGATGAAACTGTGAAATTAATGTAAAACAAATATGATAATTTACCAAATACAAATCAGCTTTATTATACAAGCCATTACATGTACAAAAAAAATTGCAATAAGCATACAGTACTCACTTCTGCCATTTTCCTAGATGCAAGCACTTCGGTTAATTCTCTGATTGCTTTCAGACGAACAGGCACTGGCGACTCATTACTAAGTTCCGTCTTTAGCTCTTCTGTTAGTCTTATATATCGGCAGCCAGGTAAATTTCCACGTTCGATTTTGAACCATCGTTTCAGCCTTTCAGGAAAACTTTTTTCTGGTTTACTGTCCTTACTCATTGTTGTACATCTCCCTGAAATTTTAAATACAATACAAAACAATAATAAAAAGAAAATCACTGCATTCTTACTGTTCTAAAAAATGAGTAAAACAACAGGTCTCCATAAAAAAATGACAAACTGCAATGTTCTACTCCTGAGTCATCATGACTCACAAACTTACATTCATTAGCATTGCTCTACATTAAATATTTTTAATTTGTAACCTTTGATATGCTACAATTATCTGCATGTACCAATGTGTATCAGTTCTGACCTTTGTGGAATGGCAATTTTAACTGGTCCCAATTCTGATTTCTCTTCCTATAACACCTGCAGCTACATTTTCCATCAATCTATTGCAAAAATGTCAAAAACAGTTGCAAAAACTAGATAAACATTGTGGTTCCCTTTACTGTTATAGATGCAAAAAAATATTAATTCTTTGTATTATAAAATTGATTTGATATGTTTAATTCTTATCTACTGCAAAACTGCCATTAACTTTGTGGGGCCTGTAATCCCCCTTGATGACTTAAATACATTTTTTAAGGGCACATTTGGAGCCCTTGCCCCACAAAGGGATAATTATTAAGGATACAATCTTGCATTAACCATTTGTTTTCAAGTAGTAACTTTTATGCTTTTTTACTAGCATTTCTTATTGAAATGCAAAATAATTCATTAAGAGATGGTCTTTGAATACTGAACTGTTCAACGGACTCCCAGCATACATAAGGGATATTACCAACAGACCCCTAGCTGTCTTCATGAAGGTAGTAGACAAGCACCTAAAGTCAGTATCTGATCAGCCGGGCTGTGGTTTGTTACTGCAGCCAGCAGTAACAGCCTGGCTGATCAGACCCTGATCCACCAGGAGGCCTGGTCACAGACCAGGCCACAGGGGCACTGATCACCGAAACCCTCTCCAGGTATACATGCTTCGTATCTAAGCTAGTCAAGTTATTCTAGGTTACAATTCCATTTTACCTCCGGTGTAGGCCAATAAAAATTATGTTTACCTTACCCACAATAAAAATTCCTATACTACCTGTACTGTCTGTAAAAGCCTACAAAACCATAGACATTTACTGAATACAGCTTATCTTTGCTATCAGTTATTAAGTTTATTTAGGTACAGTTACACATAAGAACAATTGCCATACATAAACTACCTAGGATAGCCCCCAAAAAATCAGTGACTATTCCCATTTTTAGTTAAGATAATTATAAAAATACTATAATAATTACTTAAAGATTAGTTTAATTATTATAAAATAACCATAAATATGTCATATACATGCCAAATGAGTCACTACTGATCATAAAGACAAAATCTTTGACAATGTCGGCATATCCTAGGTTAAGTCATCATATCTGTGTACACATCTATAATGTATATACACCATGACTAAAATATAAAATACAAATGCATATATTTTACATAAATATAATGTAATACTTACGTGTAATTATAACCCCGAATATTGTAATTCCTACGTGTAATTAGAACCCCGAAAAACAAAGAAATCTGGAACACTGTCTTAGAAATAAGTAAATAAATTAACTATGTATATCTAAAAATACAAGTATGCGTTACTATGTACATATTATAAACACATGTAATCATTTAAACAAAGATAATCAGCTAATCAATTATGATTAATAAACGTATAACAATACGAGAGTTAACAAGATTCGTAGCTCATCTTATTTTTCTCGGGGGAAAACATTCGGAAAACTGCATACCATTAAACTTGTGTGTATTATTTGCATTGCTATATGTATTCTGGAGGTGTCTGTATAACACCTGGAGAGAAAACCCATTAAATAAACCCTGACTTGGATAAAAATGGCCCCTCAAGTGTTTTTGACTTCACAACATTACCAGGTTGGGCTAACGCAAATTTTACATTTCCTTTATTTTAGGTCATAAAAACAGATCCATCACTCCCAAAAATTGATGTACACATCAAGAGATTGATGATATACATGCACGAGTCAAAAATTAGAGTGATCATTGCAAAATACAGTAGAATAAAACGTTTAATTACTTGTGAAGGGTAGAGAGGTGGGAGCCGTGGTGGACAGCACAGAGGTGTTACGCTCACTCAAACGCCCAATAAATACTCAATAAACTTCAAAAAAAATATATAATAATGTAGAAGACGAAATAGAAGAAAATTCTATTCAGATTATTAACCTGAAGGGTTAGAAACCCAGAACAAGCCAACAAAGCCACTGCCTGGCTTATTTTTTTTTTAACCCCGGGTCCTTTGATCCCGATCTTTCCCCCACGATTTCCCTCGGGAAGGGGTTTTTGATGTTGGTGAGGGGTTCTTGATTTAGGTAATTGGATCTGTGCTCCACTTCCCCGAATTAAGCCTGACTGCCTTCCACATCCCCCCCCCCAGGCGCTGTATAATCCTACGGGTTTAGCGCTTCCCCTTGATTATAATAATAATAATCCCCCACGATTAAGTTTATTTAGGTAAAGTATACATATGTACAATTATCATATATAATGTAAATAAGTAAGTTTATTCAGGAACAGGTACACACATATACAAAAATCGGTGTACATTACCTAGGATAACCTCAAAAAGTCAAAGTGACTTATTTCCACAGGGGTCCTTTAACTTAAAATATACTGGTTGGTTAATTACTGAGCTTTAAATCCTATCAACTACACGAGGCTGCACATAGCTTCACCACCAGACAAAAATACTTTATTCCTTAAAACAGAGATTAAAGCAAACCCGGCATATATATTCGTGGAATAACACACACCACCTACCTCTCGGTATATATATATATATATATATATACAGTATATATATATATATATATATATATATATATATACATACACATATATATATATATATATATATATATATATATATATATATATATATATATATATATATATATATAGTCGACCTACAATGGGCAGTAGGCTTAATTATGGAGATATGCCCAACCTTTCTACTTTGCCAGAACTTAATCAAGGTCTTTCAGATGTGAGCTAAAGGCTCACATCTGCCCAGGGAAATATAAGTTACAATAATAGGCTATATATATATATATATATATATATATATATATATATATATATATATATAATATATATATATATTATATATATATTATATATATTATATATATATAATATATTATATATGTCGTGCCGAATAGGCAGATTTTAGATTTTGCCACCGAAGTGGCTAGTTTATTGTGCACCCCATATCCATCCTGTGGACGGTAGCGCGAGAGCATATGGATACACAAAAGGCCTAGGAACTAGGCCCCAAAGGGTTAACAGGAATACATATGGATTTATATCTACATATCTATAGTTCACTTATCTGTTACAAGCAAATTTAGGAAATTTGCTTAGTATATCTGGTATCTTATTTTCTTTAATAAGATATCTTGACATGTCACATAGGTTATTATACTGTCTGTCTCTGTATTCCTCAATAAGTGGACAATTAAGCACATAGTGTTCAAGAGAGTGACCATATGCCTGATCACATAATTTACATTTAGTTTGATCATCATCTGTGTGTCTCCCAAACTGCCAGAAGTACTTGTAACCAAGCCTAAGCCTGGCCACTACAACATCAGTCAGTCTGTTCACATTGCAAGTTGCTTCATAAACATACTTATCTACGTTTCATGTTATCATAGTGGGTTATAGATCTACTCAGGCTTCTAACTGCATTCCTATAACAATCATCTTCATTATTTACTTCTCTCCTAATATTATTCCTAATGTTAGACACAGTTATACCAAAGTTATATTCTACGTTCTCCTTCTGGATACTCTTCTTGGCTAACATATCAACTTTATATAAATAGGCAGAACTTGCGATCTTGGCTTAAATAGCAACGCTCATCTTGCCATATAGGACAAGTGAAAATTTGTGTATGCAATAATTTCGCCAAAATCATTCTGAACCTAACGAAAAATATATATTTTACTGTGTTTGTTTAGTATTAAATTATTGTAAACAAATCTAAAATATATTTAGTTGGGTTAGGCTAAAATAAATTGCTGTTGTTATAATAAGGTTAGGTAAGTTTTCTAAGTTTCTTTTGGTCCAAAATTAATTTTTTTTATATTAACATTAATGAAAAAAATATATCTTTAAATGTATAAGAGAAAAATTTTAGAGAGGACTTAATTTTAAATGAGTTCTTGCTAATTGACCAGTTTTACATATTCGGCACGACATAATATATATTATATATATTATATATATATATATATATATATATATATATATATATATATAAATATATTATATATTATATATATATATATATATATATATATATATATATATATATATATATATATATATATATATATATATATGAGATTTTAAGCACATAACTGATTTTCAAAAGGCATATAAAGTTGTATCAATCAAGTCCATAGTTGAGAGAAATATAATCAAATCAAGTTTCATAAAAAATAGCATTAAGGATTAAGGCTTTTATTTCTTTGCATAGTTTACGATGTGTAATTACAATATGATTTGCTAAGTACAAAGAAAGCCACTATCATGCCGGATATATAAATTACATTCATTTATAATTAATAGAATTTACACTATGCCTGAAATGTGACTCATAGACTGTACTTGACATGAGGCTTGACGCCTTGACCAAATCTTTACTATACTCCCACCCTCAGTGTGTGGGGTCAAGTGTCAGGTCATAATGTATTCTGTTGTTCTATTATTTTTACGTTTCTTCAAGAAAAATAGTAGGTCTGATGTCAGCAAGTACAGTATAGACCTGTTAGTATACTCAGTATAATATCCAAAATTCTAGAGAGGGCGGTGTACTGTCAAGTAGTTAAGTATCTTAATGACAACATTCTTCACTATATTTCACTATATTTCTTTGTACAGCTATGTATCATGTCCAAATAAAAAAATAAATAAATTAAATTAAATAAATAAATAGTTACCCATCAGGCTTTAGATCTTACTCAACCGACACATCAATACAATACAATTTT